ACCACTAGAGGGCAGCAGTGTTAAATCATTTAATGAATCATAAACATTACACGATTTACCACTAGAGGCAGCAGTGTTAAATTAAGTACAATCCTGACTTTCTTAACACTTTCAGTGTGTGGAATGTGGGCTAATGCTATCAAACGAAGCACTGAAGCCTTCAAAAATAAAGCGACACCTAGCGACGAAACATCCAACGCTCGTGGGAAAGCCTGTTGGGCTTCTTGTTGTGTATGCAGGTTTACATACACATGATAAATAAATGTCTTTGTGATCATCACATTGTATCATCTCATGTATTTGACAAGGGTTTTGCCTGTTCAACTCCGCGAGGACACCGGCGTCCTCGATCCCCTCCCCTTCCGTTCCGTTCCTACGGCTTGCTTGTGCAAACTACGTCACAAAACATGGCCGTGTTTGGTATCCCAGCATGCCCAAAATCCTCATCTTTGCAAAGAAATCATCGATTTTCTTTTATTTCTTATGGATTTTTCACAAAAGGAGCCCAAACACACACTGTCCAAAGTCGCCATAACCTCTGCAAGTCGGATCTTGCAGCATTTCGACGGAAAAAGACACATTACAGACCCAACAATGTGCTAGCAGATGTTACCATGGAGCTAGTAGCTTCAGAAAACACTAGTACTTAAACTACAAACCGTATCTTCCACTTCTGTAAGCCGTCAATCAACGTATAACCTTGCGTAACTGAGCTACCTTCGTACTCCATCGTGTCCACATTCGCAGCCATTACGCACAGTGAGTCTGCTACTTACATACCATGTCTTCTACCATATATATATAGTTTTTGCAATTTGCAAAGGCTAAAAATAAAAGGAAAATAATGTAATATCAAAATATAAAGGGAGAAACACCTTTAGTGTGTCAGAATATCATTTGGTTACCGTGTGTCCATTTGGGTCTCCAAATATCCTTTTAGAGCTCTGCCTGGATCTCTTCATGGAAGAAACACTGTAGAATCGTCATACTTTGTCCAATCTTCTTCAAATTTGAGGCAGTTGTTCACTGATAGTGTAGTTACAGCCCTATACTGTCATTTACCTGTACAGATACAGCCACATGCAGTTATTTATACTGAAAGATACTTTTTTATTTTATGCGGACAAAAATCTTCAATTTTTACTGACTCCAAAGGCCCACTGCTCTGTTTCTATATGACCTACAGGTTTTCTGACACTTTTGATGCATATAGTCACAGTGGTTCAGAAGCTACAGCCATTTTAATTTGGGTATGTCATTTCAGGCGGTTTTGCTCCAAGATAGGGGTGGAGTTGAACAGGTAACAATATAGTTATTGAATACAAATCAAACCAAGAGTGAGATCAATTAGTTAAACTAATAGTGTTAATATTTGAATGACACTTTGTACTTGAAAAGTTGGGCCCCGAGGTCAAAAAGGTTAAGAACCCCTGCAATAAAGTTAGGGCAAATTCCTCTTCTGGCATCTTATTAAAAGAGAATAAGTATGAGGAAAGTAGTGAGTGCAGTCTACTGCCCGTCTCCCACCAGTGACACCAAAATAACTGTGTACATTAAATGTAATCAATTCTGTAGATGGGATTGATAAGGACTAATGATCGGCCCAGATTATGTTATCGCTTTTTCAGGATTGCCAGCAGTTGAGTTACTGAAGGTCTGTGTTTGGTTGTCTCTCCTCCAGAACGGTCAGTTGCAGCAGAGATTGGATAATGTCCAGAGAGACTTCATTGTCTTCAACAGAGAAAAGTAAGGAACCTCCTTCTGTACAACCAATACTGTTCATCTCATTGTGAAATAAGTTGCAATATAGTGGAAACTTTCAGGAAACATCACAACTGTCAGTGGATAAAATCAATATTATTATTGTATTTTTTAAACTGCAGCAAAATTTAAAGTTTAAAAAAAACGTCCTTGCCAAATGCCACAGTAAATTCTTAAATGTCTGTAAAAACAGCTAACTTTGGCCATCTCAAAGTTAAAATGATGAAAAATAGAAACTATTATTAGCCACTATCCTTGGCCATCAGAGGCAAGAGGTTAAGGTAAAATGATAAAATGTCAATAGTGTGTCCTAATGACGTTCTTTACTCACCAGGTCAAAGAAAGCAGTGGTGGACTCAGACTCCTCTGAGCTGTCCATGAGTGAGAAGAACAAGGCAATTGAGGACGGACAGAACAACAACGTCGAACCGGCTGCCTACTTATCGGGATAGGTCTGGAGACCCGACATCCCAAACGTAGTCCCTTACCACTTGCACCTGCCCACAGCTTGTAGATCAGCAATTTACACAAAGACACTTATTGTTCTATCAGCACAGGCACTCGTCTTCAATGTTCCCCGCACCACAACACGTACTTGTGTGTCACCGTTCGACCCACGGAAACCACATCGAGATCTGTGGACCTGCAGGAGTGAAATAGACTCCCGGAGCAGCAGTCGTGCCAGGCCGAGGTTTTTTTTTTGTTTTTCTCTTTCCTGTCACGAAGAAGAACGACTCTCAGCAGAGTGTCACTCATATCATGCTCCTTTACATCACTCTGGTGCTCTACGGTCTGCTCAACCTCTACTCTGGGCAGCGTGCTGAAGTGGAAAGGAGGTCACTTCCCTGCCAAAAAAGAAAAAAAAAGGAGACAATGCCACACCTGCTCAGCTGTTACAGTAATAAAGTCTGATGTGGTTAGCATTGGCTGAAAGCTGTATGTACTGCTGCTGACCTTGGCGGGACACTCAGTTGTCTATTGTCAGCCGTGCATTTTCTGGTTAATTACAGCTATTTCAGCACAATGGTTCTCCAGCTATGGAAATGGACTTGACAATAATTGGCATGAGGGTGGACATCTTTGTCCCGTGTGATCCACATGACTTGAGCATGACACTAAGAGTACAACACATTCAAACGGAGGGGTTACTACAGTATAATGAGGCCTTTTATTTTAAGAACGCAACCACAGTTTTCTCTAAGATAGAAAATGAAGAGCTGAACTGTAGGCTTGGGTGTGAATGGCTCACTTTAACATAGCAGCAGATACACGGCGGTAGCGGTCATTATGCTTAGCTTAGCTTAGCTAGTCGAGCTAACAAAGACGGTAGGATTGCAACATTTTGTACAATGTCCCTACTGCAGATAAGCAACTGCAAGTTTTATTTTCCCTTGTGTACGCTTTAAGTTACTATTGAGTCAAAACTGAAATTCGAAATGCATTTGACAAACACTGGTTTTAAGGTTAATCTTGGAGGTCCATTCTTGAGATTGGAAGTTGTATGAAGTGGCTGAATTAAGGCCACCCGGTGTGGTTGAAAGCTCCGGGCACAACCACAAGATTACTGATCAATCTGCAAATGACCAGCGGGGTCTTTAAATAAAGTTTTATAGCTATGAAAACATAGAAAAAGGTAGACGGTAGGTGTTATATGTTTTGCATTGAACTTTGCTTTGCACATGCTTCTTCATCAACTGTAGCATTTATGCACAGAGAGACAAAAAAAATCTAAAGCTGTGAGTGAACACTTATTCCCTTAGGGATGTTTTTATAGACAAGCTGAGTCCTAGATAAGATTTATTTTCAGTTGCTGTATGCACTGAATTTCGTTTTTTTGTCAAATAATGTTCGTGCCCTTCTTCTTTTGTGTTGAATACAACCAATTACATGTGCCACCAGATAAGTCTGTAAATTTGTATTCGAAATTAATTGCTCCCATAGAATAATACCATCTGCGACAACGTTGTTGCGCAGATGGTATTCAACAGTAATTTAGCACCAACTGAATAACACAGTGGGGAAAAAATTGTAATATTGATTTTCACATTCAATGTTGTTTACCAGAAAACAACGATGGAACAAATAAAAAAAAACAGGCCAGACATTACCCCCTTATTCATACGATTTAAATATACTTTAAGATTTGTCTGAAACTATATGTCTAAGAAACCACACCTGCCTCTGAAGTTTCAGAGGGATGCCTTATAACATAGATATGGCACACAGCTCTATCCCGCAAACTGTTCGCGTAGGTAGGAAAAACCTGAGCTTTTTTCAAAATCAGTAAGTAAATGTCATTTCTACTAATGTCTAGTCGTCCTATTGACCTCGATCTTATCTATGTGCAATACAACACAATCCTTTCAAGTCTGTGATGCTTGTTATAATATTTAAAATAGATTTCACTCTATTCAGTTCATTACTGTTGGCACTTTTCTATTGGAAATTGGTACAACGTTTTGACTTAACTTTGTGTTGTTGTTGTTGTCATTGATGTAAATTTACAGATCCAAAGGTGGTTTCCTGTATAAGTTGTGAGATATAGTGGGATAGTTAAACAGATCCTGGGTATAGTCGGGGTAAATTATATTTGTGAATGATTATCTTACTTTGTCCATATATAGGAGGTACCAGATGAGTTGGGTTTATTGTGATATAATCATATGATGTGGCTGATTCAAAAAGTAAACATTTAAATAATAATTGACAAATAGCATTTTACCCAGGTAATACAAATGTTCAACAAAACTTACCAACCTAAAAAGACATTAAGTCTGGGAACAGATTTGTTCCTCACCTGTGAATTTCATTCCAATTAAGGTTTTGTTGTCCTTCAGTTGTCACTTTGTGTTTATTGTATTCAAATGTGATGGAGTTGCAAACTATTAAGGTGTGCCTTAAAAAAATGACTTTCTTTTTCTGAACCAATATGACTATGTCTTGTGCTTTATTTCACTCTCACGCCTTTCTGAATTACCATATTTTATTGAATAAGCACTATAAGTAAAATGGGACATGGAATGACATCAGTAGTGAAAGCAATTAAGCAAAATCAGGAAAGTGGAAAGATCTAAAAAGAATGTTAAATCATCGGGCTAAAAGGTATTTTACCCTAAACAAAACTTGCATATATGATGTGTATTTAATGTGCAGGTTGCTCTCCACTATCCTAAATATGATGCTGCCCCCTAGTGTTAACTGACAAGTAGTGCAGTTAGTAACCGACAGAGGGGTAGATGGACTTGGTATGAACACCCATGGTTAAAATAATATGTAAAGATATAACTAAGCCACAAGGATGAGTCTCCAACTACAATGGCTGTTGTTTATCTTCACACAAATCAGGCCTGATTTGACAAAATAGTCTCTTAACTCTTTTTTTCCAATGGGTCACAGAGCTTTTCCTTGACAACGCACCCTCAGCATCCGAAATGCTGTTGTGATAATGCTGATGTGCTTTTCCTATTCTCACTCTTTCTCTCCCACACACATCCACAGTGAACACATTTGTGTCCACCACTTCCCTAGGTCATCTAGAAGGCACGGCCCCTTCTCTCCTCCACAGTGGAGATGAGCTGAGGCAGCACATCTCCACATTAATGGCAGATCGGAGGGAGATTTTCAGTTGATCAATGCTTCCCCAATATGCTATGTGGAATCCCCAATGATAAAAGCAGCAAACCTCGGTTTATCACATGAATGTTAACAAAATATATTGTTATCTACTCACACACACAGACTGGATAGCAACCAATCTACATTATCCTCTCCGGAAATGTTTTCTCATCACAGGCATACACTTTCTCATTGTGTTACCTACAACACCAACAAGCACCACACACACACACACACCACCCCAGTTTAGACTGAGGTTGCTGACATCTCTTGTTCCACACCTAGTGTGCATTTTAAGATCGTCATCAATGCCACTTGGCATGATTGCTATGATGTCATTAGACTCACCATTAAACAATGCATGAGGGACCTTGCAGCACTTTTACTGTTGGACCGCACAGTGAGGGTAAATGTGTGTGTAACTCCCACGGCTAGGGAACACAATGGGACTGTACTTTAGTCATCCTATTAGTTCGACCACACAGTGCGAGTGTCATTAATGTGATTAATTATTTTCATGAAGTGCACTTTCCTTACCAATCATTTAAATTGGCAAAGTTTGGATCCACGACAGCCTGCAAATATGATCAGTCTGTGATGCAGGAACAGCCCTAATGGTTATCCTTACAACAGGGGAAGAGGTGAGACTTACCTTTATGTCCTGCTGGAGTTTTGACTTTCACCCAAACTGCCATTTGTGTGTTTGTGGTTCTTTAAAGTTGACTGCAATGTCTTTTTACAGTTTTCTTCTTTTACCATCCCTCTCTGCAATATTAACAAAAAAAACAAACACCTAAATTACCTGCAGTCTAACCCTACAGTACTTGTACTTGAAATTTAACTGGTTAGAATTAAACATTCTGAGGCAAATTCATACTCGTATTCAAATTCTTATTCGTAGTTACAGCATCTGCAGTATTTGCATGCCATGAAAATGTTAGCAGCCAGCCAAACTATCTCCCTTTATCTCAAACACAGCAACTCTGTAATTATGGGGAAAAAAATTACCTAAAAGTGGAACTCCTCCTCTATTGGTGGGATTTGCGTTTGCTCTTTCATAATAAACATGAGTGTGTGTGATCATGTTAATGGTGTCACCAAATGTTGACGTAGCAGTCAGGGAGCAAAAAAGCTAGTTTGACATTTATATCTGAACTTTTTGAAGGACTTGTCACAGGTTCGGGCTGCCTGAAGGAAGCCTCTAACTGAACAAATAAAAAAAGAGAACCAACCGCTGGCCAGGTGAAATAGTCAGCATTTAGTTAATTGATTGCAGGTGATCTACTACACTTTAGAGCTGCGTAGTGTCGCTCAGCGCTGCCCCTGGTGGCCAAGAGATGGATTGCATCAGAAGAGGAGCATATAGACTTTAGCTGTGGGGCATGAGCTGTTGATCCAGTGGTAACAATGTTTATTTGTCATAACAACTCAATATTTATCTTGGCATTAAGTATCGTTTTTAATTTTAGAATTGTTACAGATCTGACATGCGGAGCAAGGAGAATATTTATATATATATATATACAGTATATATATACTTTTTTTTTCTGTGATAGTAGGTCAAGTCTCCCAGAGATGCTGGTGTAAATCAAACCTCATGCTTCTATTACGCATGTTGTTCATCCAACTTGAACCCCTCAACTCTGTCTGAATTGTTTACACAGTCAGTCACCGCCACGATGACTCACTGTCTGAATAAATGGGCAGTTCATACTCTATAAAAGGAAAGATATAGTGTCCAATAAAGTGGAAACTCTAGGCGTATAAACAGCCAGCAAAGATGCGGATACTGATATATAGTGCCCTGGGGTTTTAAGCAATTCTGGTTTATTGAGAAATAAATAATGGTGTTTAAAACAAAGTAAGTAGACACTCAACATGTAAAGCTCACCTGGATATGTTAAGAATACTGTACATGGCGTTGCCCTTATAATGACAGGGTTGCTTCTGCAAATTATATCTGCATTAGAAAAGAATCACAGGTACAAATTCAAAAATTCATAAAGAAAAATTCATAAAGAAAATTCAACCCGATGAAGCCGTTTTTAATCTAAAATGTGAATGTAATGCTAATGCAAATTGTAAAAATGTGCGACGTTAATTCATGAGGAAGGTCAGATTTGATTACCATAAAATAATTGTAGCCTACTTTTACACTCTCTGTAACCTTAGGTCTCTTTCTCATTAATTAAGACCATTTTTATAACCGTTCATTTTCTTATGTCCACCTTTAGTGCATACTTCTCAATGAAAAAAAAGAGATCCCAGTCAGTCAGTTGCAACTCATGTTTATTCAGGAAACAAATCATACCTCCACAACACACCTTATTTTTTTACCTGCCATCTCTGGGTTTTGATAAAACAGTAAAAAAGAATCAACATTAAAAACAATAACAAAGGTTGTCAAACTAACATAAATACAACAAACCACCACTCGTTCCTGCCCCAGACTCTGCCCCACAGCAACCAAATAAAACACTTCCCTTACTGCACCGCGATCCTCTGCGTTGCCAGAATACAGCAGAGAAATAAAGAGCTCTAAGCACCCCTCAGAACATTCAGATCCAGAGTGCTTCACGTAAACTAACTTGGGCCCATGGTTATATTCAGGCTGGTGTTGAATTAGCATTGGTCAGAATGGCATTATGGGCTATGTAGGGATGACAAGGGAATGATGGTCTTCCTCTTGTTCTAAAACGAGAGCCCAGTTAGTCAGGAATGAAAAAGTCAAGCAAGAGGTGAAGTGCTGTTATCTGAAAGCAGGTGTTTGTCACTTATTCATTTAATTGCATCTGGTTTTCTTCATTGCCCTCAAGGGAGTGTATTTGTACTTCTTCTGAACAGCTTTTTTTTTTTGTTAACATTTTTCCCCCTCTTTTTCGCTTTCAAGATGATTTTAGGATGAGCACATTTAGCAGCCAATAAGCTAGAAGCAAATGCAAAGGACGGTTTCTTACAACGTTCAATACAGCCATGATGGAGTGCAGGACATTTTTTAAAAAAATTGGGAGATACAGAATGCTAAAACCCTTTCTATTCATGTGTCTGTCTTCCTTTAATAACATCAATAATTAGCCAATCAATACAACATGGGGATGGTATTCATCAAGCACCTCAGAGGAAGAGGGGGTGGCAAAAGGATCATGGATCACGTCACCCATGATGTTGTGGCCCATGCAGCTCCGTGTCCAACTGCACTCCTGCTCTGAGATTTGATAAATACCTTTTACTTGGTCCAGTAAACCCAAACGGGCTGCAACAAACATCACTCACAACGCTACATTACATCTACCGTATATACAATGCCATCTAGAGCTAATCAATGGTACTGCATGATAAAACATGGCTAATGTGGGATCTAGTGTTGCTGACTATGGAGGAAGCAGGCTACTGAAAAGGGGGTGACATTGAAAGCCAAACAGGGTGAAAGAACCATCGCATCAATCTGAGAAAAGCGTTATCCATTTTCCTTTGAGAGCAGAGTTTGTTTGTATGTGATGGTATGCAGTTTTACTGGTGTAGTTTCTCATTGCCAAATAACAGAGTGAAAATGTTGTCACTGTAGTGTGGTGTATTCTATACTGAGAAGAAGTGAAGCTAAAGACTGGTCATGTGTATTGTGCTTTGTTGGTATCCTGTTGGTATCCTTTAGTGGCGATTCTAAACCACTTCAAAACAAACTCCCCAGGAAAAGGGATGCTGTTCTCATCTGAGCATGGTAGCGTTGTGACAGGTAAGGCATGAGGATTCAGTGTTTGGCTCTTTTAACTAATCATGGTCCTCTGCATCTGCTCCTCCCTCCCTCCCCCTTTCCCTCCCTCCTTCCCTTCCTCCCACCCTCACTCCTGCACTCTGGCTGCTGTCGTTTTCTGGACGCACCCCCTCGTCTTCCTGCTGTTTAACTGAGGGATGTGATGTTGGAACGACCACCAGGGGGCACTACGATACGCCGGCCAGCAGGCCTGATAGGGAGATCATCTGGGATGGAGGGGCCTGGACAGAGAGGAAAGGAGAGACAGAAAGTGAATTACATGGAAGAGCAAAGAGGCAGTCGGAAGAAAGATCAAGGGTGAAAAAAGGGGCCAAATTGAAAACCAGGCCAAAGAGAGAATTATAGAGAGACGTTTAAAAGACTTACAAATCAGACCAAATCGCTTCAGATGCAACAGTACAATTTAAAATTCAAGAAAATGCTGCAAATCAATATTATCTTCTCTTTGCAGAAAACCCAATGGTAAGAAATGGAGAAAAGACATGGATTTACATATACACACCTTTGTAATGCTAGTCTCTAATTATGTATTAATATCCCCACCTGCTAATTAATTAATGGTGCACTGTAGAACACTCCATAAGTGAGCCTTCAATGGGACAAAATAAGTGAATTTAATGTGTATGGCAAAGTGGAGCTCATGCATAAAACCTCCAAATCCTCATAAAGTGTTATCGTTGGTTAGCATGTACTTTACTTTAGGTTCTGTCTGCTCTTAAAACTAGAATTTGTCCCATTTGTCAATCCTTTCAGACTTCATCACAGGACACAAATACCTGCTGTCATACACTCGCATTATTACTTTCCAGGACACATTGTCTATGATATATGTACCTGCCACTGAGACGACAGGGTGATTCATATTTCAGCAGACCATGCCCTGTATGAGTGCTACTGAAACATTAACAAAAGAAGCGACAGTTTGTCATAAAGCACCGTATTTCCAAAGGATGAGCCAGGGCCTCCGCTGCAACAAATTAACAGCGAGCATATAAATGGAAAGTAGAGGGATGTCAGACTATGATACACGGTATCTAAGCAAACAATCCTTCCCATCTCATTCCAGACAAGTAAATACACTCTGCAGGTGGTGGCCCTGGAAAAACTAAAATAGATTGACTCATTCTGAGAGTACATACACGTACTGTATACGCACGCATACACACGAAAACACAAAGAAACATTACAAAGTCTGGGAAACCAAGAGCAGCCTTACTCCCCTCTCAATTGATGTACTCAAATGTGGAAATTCTTTCCGGCGGAGGTCACTGTCGTATTTCATCGATGAGGTATCACACATAACCTACTCTTGTAAAGACAGGTTGCTCAATAAAACCAACTAAACACCAATCTGTGGAGTTTAAAAATGATTTATCCACTATTTGAAAATACTACATGCATTCACAAATACAGCCAATACCCCTGTGAGAACAGCTGTGTGCTGTCCAGGTAAAAAAAAAGGGGTCGCTCTCATTGATTTACATGGACATATTCACTCCGTCAGGAATGGATGGAAACACCGACTATCCGATTCACGATTTTACCATGTGCACAAAGTTTCACTGTTTGGCAGCATAACAGAAACAATTTCTCACATTTGTTTTGTAAATCAAAGCTAATCCAATGCCTTACATATGGGCATAAACAGACTGTCACTCAGCAGCTCTGCATAATGGAACAGATGTCGAGTGTGAATACATAGTGTTGTGATCTCTCACATTAGATAGGCTTTCTTACTAGAGTCTAGTAACTAGACCATGTCCAGACGCCTGGACTGAAATCTTGTACGCTGTGTGTTTTAGGCCTTGAGCCAAAATGCATATCCAGCGTGACTTAAAGCAAGTGTAACTGTGGAAAACACTTGAAACTATGTAGCTTGACATTACTAAAAGGCTGTAGTTAGAGGTCACAGTGTCCTAAAGAGCAATAAAAAAAGATTGTATTTGAGAGGCGTGAGATACTGTAAGAGAGTAATTCAGCGGGAGAAAGGGATTTAAGGTGCATTTCTTAGAGATGAGTCATGACAGAGAATGATTTAACCGAGTTAGGAAATAAGATGTTGAGTAGTGCAAAATACATGTGAAAGCAGGAGAATAGAAGCCATGATTTGCTTACTACAATGTACAAATACAGAAATACTGAGCTCATATCTCGAATGCTAATTCATCTAAAAATGTAAATAAAGTTACCATCCTAGATGCGTATGGGTCAAAAGTAAAGTTTGTATGGTTTCAATTTGGGGTAATGTTGACTTCATGGTAAACCACAAAACAGCTAACTGGTTGCGTACACAAATTTAACTTCATGCCGTCTGCGCTCTGGCTCATTAAAACTCAAAAGGAGCTTACGTGGGCAACTTAATGACATGCATTAACAGACAAATTGCCCTTTTTTCGAAAGGAGCCTGGTATACTGCAGACAAACGCATGCCATACTTTGCACATCATAAAGCATGAAACAGGATAACGGGAGATTATTAGGTTACTTCACAGGCTTGAAGCTTATCGCCAAGGGATCATTCAGAGCAACATGCAAAAATAAATCACATGACTCCTTCACAGCATGTTGTAGCTCAGTTGAGATAAAAGGGGGCCGTGATGGTGGATGGACTGATGCACATGCATGTGTCTCTGATGTGTCTCCATACAGTATAAATCAATACAGACCATAAACAGATGAAGGGCTGGGTGATAGAGGGGTGGGGTTTGTATTAGGAAGCTGAGCTCACTGCATTGTGCAGGGTTACCTGTTAGACTAAATCCAGACTGGTGCAGGTTTCTGACAGGCTGTTTGGTGGGAGAGGTACGTGCTGAGGCAGAGGGGGTGCCACCACGGGATATGGAGAATTCAGACACGGGGCCGTCGTACATTCCCCTGGGTACTGCCCTCAGGACTGCCAGCTATGGGACAAACAAGAGCAGAGATGGCGGCGGCGAGGAGAGAATTAAAAAAGAAGCAGACATTATGGTGTTTGGTATCACAGACAGATTTAATGTTACCAAGTCCACAACTGTTTTGCATTATACGGTTGTTTTGTGTCTGAATTATATATGCATTTTTCAGAGAGCCTTTTTCCTGCTGAGAACCAGTTCCAGATTTACACATACAAACACAAACAGACATACAAACACAAGTAAGCAAAACCATTTTACAGCAAGTTGTGAACAAGCCATTGTCTGTCAGTCTGTCTGTCAGTGGCATGACTCAGAGGACTCTTGGAAACTCTGTGAAGAGTTAAAAAGAGACATCTGTGAACGAATAAAGCGTCTACCAAGACAAACAGTGCACTGTTACTGCAGCTACATGTTCTCATCACCAGCCAGCTGCAAATTAGGAAATTGTTGAACAATGAGATTTTTGGCCCATGAGATAAGAAGGCAAGAGAGCAGACGGCAGGGTCTGCTTTGAGTTTAAACTGTTGTAAATCAAATGGTCGAATGGGGTCAACTCTTAATACTTTGAAGGAGACAGGAATTACCTTTTTTTATTCCTTGATGAGGTACAGCTACTGGACAGTGAGTTAGAGCTCTTGTGGGACTACAGTAACTTATTGTAACTGTAGACTCTTCTACTGTATGTGGTAGGTCCCTGGAAAGTCATACACATCCAAACTCACCGTATCATCTTTAAAACCATGACGACAAAGCCTCGACCACCCTCACTGCGTGCACATTTTGCAGCCAGCGCTCTGAGGCTGAACCTTGGAGGCTGATGTCAGACTTACTGTATCTCCCCCACATCCTACTTCACTGCCTCCATCCTTCCCGCCCTTTTTTCTCCCCATCATTAAAACTTCTATTTCAGCCCTAACTTTTCTAACTTCCAATCCAATAGATCTTGACTCCTACCTTCCATCTTCGCTTATTTTTTTTATTGCTATATGAAGTGTAAATGGTAGGCTGGGCAGAAGTAGAACCAGTATTTACCTGCTTCCTGGCTTTAATACGCTTGTAGGCAAAGTCGGGGAAGGGAGAGCAGGGAATAAAGCGGCCCACGCCGGAGATGACGTGCATGTTCCCATCTTCCAGAACAATCTTCCCCTGGCAAACCACCACATGTGGGGCTCCACGCAGCTCCATGCCCTCAAAGACGTTGTACTCAGCAGCCTAAAGCACACAAATAAAACTATTAGATACTTAGGACAAAAGCTATGCAATAGAACAGAATACATTAGCACAAAGAAGTTAAGAAGTTATAGAAATATGCAGATCAATCATGCGAAAACTAGAAGAGCAGATAAATTGACAGTAATACAAATGTTGAGTAAATGTGAACCACAATCATATTAAGACACATATGCATACACTATATATGCTCTCACAAACACATACAAACACACAGAAGAAGAATCATATCCTGTTAAGCCCTCAATAGAGCATTCTGCAAAACAAGCCTGACTTTTTAAATCCGATGCATCTCATTTGAGAGAAAACCCCCCCAACAAAATAAAACCTCCTGTAACCTTCCCTTAAAGGACTAATGAAGGAATGGAGGAGATGAGGGAGACAACAACAATAACAGGGGGAGCTGTGAGAGGATGGATGTAGAGACAGGAAGTGGAGGCATAAAGCCTCTTTCTCCTCTACTCTCTCTTAATCCCACACTCGCTTTCTCCCATTCTTTATCATTCATCACCTTGATTCTTACACTTTTTGTTTGGCATGTACAAACAGCTGCCATCATCCAGCTGGTGTTTAAGGCCTCTGTTCTTCTCACTCTCTTTCCAGTTGTCTGTCTCCTTCGTTCATTTATCCTTCCTTCTGTCTGTTTTTATCATCTTGTCTTTCTCCCCCTCACCCATTCTTGCTTGTTTTATGTGATCCCAAGATTATTGTGCCCTATTCACCCTCGTCCAATTTCCCTTTTTGTGCCAATTTTCTTTGCTCGACATGTTTGGGATCTGTGATGGCCCCCTCCCCTTACTCCATTGTTCCTAGTTTCCTCTGCACACGGTCCTGTTTTCTGCTGCCGTCCAAATTCAGGCCTGAACAGGACATAACTAAGACTTACTGCATGCCAAACATGATGTCATGACTGAGCAGAGTGTGTCTCGGAGTGTGTGTGTGTGTTGCTGCCTGTTCTTGTTTATGTGTCAGAATATCCTTATTACCATCTATGTATTTTTGTGTTGACAACAACAACCAATCCACACCAGATGTGGGCTCAATGATGACAAACTTAGACACAGCACAGTGTAAATCCTATTTACTCTGCAGGGCAACGCATTCACCAACACTGTGTGCTGGTAAACAGTGCCGCTGCTGTTTGGCCTGGCCTCAGACTATCCATTAAGGTGGATTTATTGGAACTGGGAGCTGCTGTGCTCTGCTCTTCTGCTCTCCTCTGATTTATCTGGAAAGGACGGCCAGCAGGAAATGAAAAGGTGACATCATTACGTAAGAACCCAAGGATCCTCAGTGGATGTACTCCACATTTGGAGAAGGCATATTATCAGTCCAGTTCTCTCCGTCTCTTTCCATTCCTCCATCTGGAGACAGAGACAATGTTCCGTCTCTCCTACTAAACAGCCGCCATTAAGTCTTTTAGCAAGGCAAAATAAAATCTACAAGCTTACGGAAACCAACTCACACATGTTGTTAGTAAATTAAGTCTTTCCTCATTCGTGTATTTCTGTATATACGCAGGATTTGTTCTAGGTCAGTAAAGCCCTAATTTCCTGTGGAGAGACTTCCTCTGCTGCCGAGTGGGCTCTCTGGGATCTTCTAATGTCTGCTTAATGGTAGGAACCTCATTATGTAAATGTGTCAAATGTGTGTGTGGCCTTTGCCTTTGACCCGCAGAGTGAGAACAAAAAAAATCTGCTATTGCATAATACAGTTTCACATATTTCTAATATAGCTTCACTTGTTTGATGAATTGCATAATGTTCACTGTGATGTGCTTTTAAAAAGAAAGCAGCGCCAGCAGGCAACAGATCCCAAATCGCAACAAAATCTGAGTGAAGGAGAAGCAATGTGGATTGTAATTGCAGAGGATGGAGTCGATGGTGGTCACGCTACACTACCAGCTCTGAATCAGACTGCACGAGACATTTCCCTTGACATCACATGTCTTATGGCCAGAGCTGTTTTCTACTTGATGAGACGAGTGGTCAAGCAAGGATGTTCCAAATCTCTGCGGTTTGTGGAAGTATTCGAAATATCAGTTTCTTGCATAATCCTGTGCAATCAATGACATTCTCTAAACCCACTATGGTTGTCCAATCATGAAAAAAATGTTCAGATGATGTGTTCAAGCAAATGTCATACGTAGATAAAGGAAATACCTCTTGATTATACAGCTCATATCTTCGTTGTTGATTAACTGCAGTTGGACTGTTTTGGTCAATGTTTGCAGCACTGACATAATGTTTGTACATTTTAATAATCCATTTTGTTTCCTGATCATAACTCCGGTCATTGCTGAGAGTTCTATGGATTTAGTGAGGCTCAACTTAACAGTGAGAGCTGGTCGTGTGATAAGTACAGCATGAGATTATTAGTAGTGCTGAACATCCACTGAGACTTCATTTCCGTTCAGAGGAACTGAGAACTCCCTGGAAACTGTTCAAAAATGTGCTCCCTCTCTCTCTCTCCCTCTCCCTCTCTCTCTCTCTCTCTCTCTCTATCTCTGTATTTTGCACACATACACACACACAGATGTGGACACGTATCTCTTATCTCATGTTCTGCTTTAGTCTTTAACTAAAGATCAAACCCTTTTAACTGCATTTTTTCATTCCTCACTTTGTCCTAATTTCTGTCTCATAAAGATTTTTTTCACCCTGGCTTTTATATATACAGCAAATCACATGTTTGCACCACAGAGCATATGTATGGATGCCATCAGGGTTACTGTAACAATAACAGCACAGACATTACTCAAGAAAGAGTCCCGTCATTGTTGGTGTACTCCCCTCTACATGTATGCACTCTAAACTCAACTCTCAAACTCAAACTAGGCTGAGCCACAGAAAGTTATGAGTTGAATTTGACTGAAACAAAAAAAAAAGCACGACCTTTGACGGGTGCACACCGTTCTTACCGAGTTGTGTGTCTTGGCAGTGATGGTGCGGATGGAGTCTGTGTCCCAGATGACCAGGTCAGCATCAGAGCCCACGGCGATCCGACCCTTACGAGGGTACAGGTTCAGGATCTTAGCGGCGTTGGTGCTGGTGACTGCCACAAACATGTTCTCGTCCATCTTACCTGTAGTCTGGGGGGCGAACGAGCATAAACAGGGAATAGTAAGCATTTGTCAAAAAAGATTGGTTACAGGATACAATGGTGCCCTTCATCTCGTAGGGAAATATTTTCTGCTCCTAGATATAGATGGATTCACTTTGTGGATATGTGTAGCTCTGGCTGGATCACATTAAGATGATATTCTCCTTTTGGGTTGAGGGATTACTAGACCCAGTGCAATTTGCCTATTGAACCAACAGAGGAGTTGCCACTTTACTTTTTAATGTTGATATTAGCATTGTGAATTTCCCGAAAGGGTCAGGGTTAATGGCACTGTGTCAAAACAGTGCCTATCTTCCACTGAAGCAACACAGAGATGATTTACTTTGCATCCTCTGTTCTGGTCCGGACCGAGTGCCGGATCAATCTGGGCCTGTGACCAATTTCTGATAAATGAATGAGACTAAATAATGATCTCCACAGAGTTCATAGAGACAGCTAATCCAATTAATACGGCAATAGCTTCACTCAATTGAGCCAATTGAATCGATTGTTTACCATGCATAGACAGAACAACAGCGTAAGAGAGATGTGAGAGAGATGACAGCATGGAGAATGAAGCGATTGACCTGCTACTCTCTGACTACAAACTACAGAATGTCTTTGAATGTCCAAACTGAAAGTTTTCCCGGGCAACGTGCAATAAATGTACATTTTCCTTTGTCTCCAGTGCAATAAACATGCATAATTTGCACAAAAGCAATCGTTACTGAGCACCGTAGCAGTTCATTTTATCCAATTCTATTTTTTAACCATCACCTTTTTAAACATATTTTTATAGTCTTTATTGTTGTGCTGTTATGTGTGTACTGTCACTGTTTATCTGCTCTGCTGCGAGCCAAACTCCCCCCAGTGGGACAATAAAGAACTGTACTGAACACCTTGTCGTCTTGAGGTGTGTTTTTGTCAAAATCATTGATATCAATCAATCAGATACTATGAGCAAGATATTCAAGGAATGTTGTATCCTTAGTCCATAAGCTGTTGTCAGGAGGCGACTAGCTTAGCTTAGCATAAAGACTGGAAAATGGGGAAATTGCTAAATACCTTTTAAAATACAGCTACCAGCACTGCAGGAAGCTTAACTCAGTCCAGTCAAGTATGGTGTTAGCTTGGGCTTTAAGTAACTACCCAAAGGAAATAGATTCCGTGTAACTTATTAAAAGCCCGTCGACTTTTTACAGGCAGCCCAGCAGTCCACAGCTGTCGAAAGCTACATGCTGTGTGTCTGTTAGCAGTACACTGATGTAGTGATAACGAGAGAGAAGGAAGGGAGAAAAATGAGGGCAGAGTGCTGTATCCAAGGGTGAAGGAAAGGACAGATGTGGAGATAGAAAAGGAAATGACAAAGCAACGCAGAGACAGTGACATCAAGACAGTGAAATAAAGCTTGAGAGTTAAAGAGAGAGAGAGTAATAACCGAAGAGAATAATTTAGAGAAAAATAGTGAAAGACAAACAAAAGGAGGGAGCCAGACAACAAGAGCCTTTTAGAGCCATTTCAAATGCAAAAATGTAGTCTGTTTTAAACTTCTGCAGAAGTCCGATGTTTCCTTGCCATCTGGGTCTAAGACAACATACAGAATTTGCTAAATAAAGGTCACAACAATATTGACATTTACAATGCCATCAGGCAAAAAAAGCAATTTCTTTTCATAGAAGTGGTAGCTCTCAAAACGAAAAAGATAAATTTGCTTATTTGTACAGTTTTTTTATTTGGTTCAAAAACGTAGTCCTCACCACAGCTTTATCCCAGATGAGGGTCATCCTCTCCTCCACTCCGTTAAGACCTTCTGGGATCTGAGTGAAGTCATCCTTGCCAATCGCCTTCTGGGCCACGCTGAAGGTACAGTGAGCGCTGCCAGTCACACTCAGGTCTCCGCTGGGGGACAAAGAAACATGAAAATACAGAGTTATGATGGAATTATACCAGCACAGCATAGTACAAGCTGTGAATCACAAGTAAAGACGTTTATTTACTTTAGCAGGACTTGCACAACAAAACAAAACAAGGACCTCAATTACCAGACGAAGCCCACCAGAACGCATTAATCTAATTTATACTAGTTCGATTATAGTCTGATTGTCTGATGATAAACAACTCAACCAGAGGGAGGTGCAGTGATACGTACCTGGACAGCATTGTGTTCAGATAGTCTGGAGTGGTGGGATCAGGGCTGAGAGGAGGTGATGTTACAAAGGAAGCCGCCTTAGCCCAATTCTTGCTCCAGTAATGTGTCCCATCAGTCCCCAGGCTGGCTGTGATTGGCTCCCCAAACACAATATTTCCTGGGAAAGAAATAACAATAAACATTCTGTTCAGAGTATCAAATGTAAAGCGTATCAAATTGATTCATTTTAGTGGTTCTTGGCAATCAACAGTTGCATCGATAAAGCTTGATTGATTTGTCAGCAGTTTAAATCCCACTAAGGGCTTTGGTAATTCATTTGTTTGCAGCAGAGGAATCATGCCTAATGTCTAAATAAACCAAACATCACCCTTGGAAATGAACAAATGTTTATGTTGAGTCAATTGTGGTTGAGCTTGTTCTTCCATGCATGATGAGTTAAGAGTTCAATTCCTGCCACTAACATTTTTGTGTTTCTGCATGGTCCTTTGCTCTCACAACTCACCGTTGGATGTCCTTCCTTGTTTAAATGTCAGGAAATATGCTCGGGAATAGTTCCAAACAAAGGTGTCAAGCCCATAAAGGCCCCTAAATGGTGTACAAGACTGCAAGTCTTTCTGAGGTCAGCCTGTTTAAACCTCATGTGGCCTTTTGCCAAAGACATCCAAACACACATTCTTCTTCTCTGCCCTCTCCCCGTTTTCCTGTTCCATTCTCAAAAATTGTATATTTCGCATTCCATCGCAGCCAGACAGCCCCTCGGTTCACCTCTGCTCTTTCCTGGGACTGTGAGGAATGGGCTGTGTGACAGCTGAACCACAGAAGAAACCTGAATGACAAATCTGAAAATTCCTCTGAGAAGAGCCTCTTTTTTCACTATGTCAAGCAGAGACTCTGTGTACATCAGCAGCTTGAGGACGGACAGTAAAATCATCTTATAAGGGCATAGGTGTAGTGACATGCTGGTATGTGCATTTCAAACGTCTCAGAAATCAGAGAGAAAGATGGCAACCAATGAGCAGAAGTAAAATATCAAATAAAAATTCAAAGCAAAAAAAAGAAGAAATTTCTAAGATTCAGTTCTAATCTCTTTTTTCCCCTAGATAATTCTCCATTATAATTTCACAAAAATTAAACTGAACAATAAATCCATGTAATTGTATTGTAAAGAATTGTATAAGATGTAAACATGTGCTGTTATTCACATCACATGGTAGGATAAGGTACATAGGATAAGGTACATTTCTTATGTAAATAGCATGTAAAAAAACAAACTAACATCTAAGTACAGTACAATCGCTCATTAGATACAAACACATCGTTTAAGATATTCTGCATTGTGCGGAGACTTCTAAATGCTGCTCTTTACCTTTTTTCCTTGCCTGTGAGATGATGTCAGCGGCACTCTTGCTCATGACTCGGGTCACATAGAGAGGACAGTTGGTCTGGCTGGCGATGGTGATGGCACGAAACACCGCCTCTGCCTCCAGCTACAAAGGGGACAGGACATTGTGGTGGACTTGGAATGTTTTTGCCATGAGGATTTTCTCAAATAACCTTCAAATATGTAAACCACAGCAAACTATGTATTTTCGGAACCGCATTATTTGAATTATGTGGAGGCTGATAAATCATAAAATGGATTACATCGAGTTAGGGTAGATAAAAGTAAATTCATGAGATTAGCGAACAGATGCTAAATAAACTTTGGTGAGGTCAGAAAAGAGTGCCACATGCTCATTTACCTAATTGTTTTTGTTACCCATTGGTGATTACTAAATTGCTAAAATATTTTGTGAAAGAACAAACAACTTCCTAAATGGTTAACGAGATGCCAGTGTATGCCTCCAGATGTGTCGACTGTCTTCTTCATGTGCAAACACTTCAGCTGATTATTGTGCTCTAGTCTACAAGCTCAACCTGGGTCCAATAACCAATACATTAAAACCAAACAGGACACCAGACACTGATAAAGCACTAATCCAACTTTGTCTCTGCTCAATTAAATCATGTAACCGAGCTTTTGATCCTTAAGACGCCACTTGACTGCATGACACTATGAGACTGGTGGGACAACTCCACCGCGCTGCACCACAGAGTGGAAAATCTCAGTGACGCTAAAGGCTGACAAGTTGCTGAGTTGAGAGCGTGGCTTTCATTCACTGTTTGTTAAAGGAACATTTGCGCCAACAATTGGCGGAACGAGGGAGTTTTCCCCCAACGCCTCGTATGTGTCTGAAACCACATGTGTGTAACAAGAACAATGTGTGTCAAGAGCAGTCCAAGAACGTCATTGTGGACAATGTGAGTGTGTGTATGATCCTCGTAAAATAAAAAAACGGCACTAAAACACATTAAAACAGCCAATATCTCAATGAAAAGGCTTTGTATGAAAACAAATGTACTTGGCTATTTCAAAATGTTAATTATTGTAATCAGTGTATAGGTGTGTGTGTGTGGGTTATACCTCTTCTGGCCTGCTCAGCACGTGTCCCTCTGGTCCGGTGATACCTATCGCCAGCATGCGGGCCTGCTCCTGTTGAACAAACACGCAAAGAGTTGACTGCTTAGCTCAGAGGCGTGATACTATTTCTGAGTGTTCAGTGATTTGTGTGGTCGGATTGATGTAAAGTTTTGTTCACATTCCAAAATGATATTCTGTTTCTGTTTCTCTCTGCCTGTGCGAATGACATGAGAAGCAGTTTTATCATGTGGGTCAGGCCACACACAGAGGACTGTAGAGGCTGCTCTTTTGTGTCGCAGTAAGTGCAGAGTCGACCCGTTGCATGGAGACACTTAGGCATAGCGTCTGTCATGTCACCATGGATGCTATATGATGGTATGCTTCCCCAAAAAAAGACTTATTTAATTACCATATTTTCTTAATAGCGAATTAGTTAGTTAGTTTTATTCTCAGAATTTGACCACTTTGAGTCAACATAAGACTTACACTTTGTGAGGAAGGATATTATTGAATTTTTTGCACTTCATGTTTGTTTCTTTATGTATTTCTGGAGAGAAAATTGAAGTTTAAGTTTTCCTCAAGCAAGCATCTAGTGGTCATAAGAGGAACTGCAGCTTGAGACACTTTCGTGATGGTTTCAGCATGTATCCATGGTGGTTGTTGCTTGGTTACAACATCTCCTCTGCACCAGCACTAAAATCCACACACTGGTCTAAACAATGCCTCTCTATCTCATGAGCTCTGAAGTAAAATCAGGACATGACATAATCTGGGGTTCAGGGAATCAGACTACATCAAAGTTGTAGTTTAAGACTGGATTGGAGATCTGGGATTTGCAATGAATCAGATCCAACACACACACACACACACACACACACAGTGACAGAATCCAGGCATGGTCTGCAGCTCTGACTAATACCAACCCCCTCAATCCACCAACTATTACAGGTCATTCACTTTCATTTGTGTAAACTACACCCACACATTACGGTCCTACAGGAAACACATTCTCCCTCTCATCAGTGACAGCGTGTTTAGTCTGTAGGCAGTGGAGATGCACGGCGATAAGGCTCGACCAGACCGGTGACATGAAGTGAACTAAACTGACATAAATCACACGAAACCAAAACAAATCGCAGAGTTGGCCACGAGACAAGTCATTAAAGAGGGGGCAGTGACGAGTATGAGGCAGGGGGGAAATGTGAAGAAGAGCTGCATCTGTCCGTTTATTTATCTTTACCTCAGCGATGATCTCGCCATTTTCAGCATGGACCTCAGCGATGCCTCCCCTCTCCGCCAGGAAGGAAAAAACATCATAGAGCTGGAGGAGAAAGACACAGAAAACGGTGAGAAGTCACAGTGGCACTGTTTGTATGTTTAAAATCCTGCATGGCTGTTTACACAAGAATCAGACGCTTCTTTTTTATCCTGGGGGTCATCCTCAAGCCGCAGTTTACAAGAAACCCACAATTTGCATGATGTCTACTACGACACGCTGCAATTATTGTGTGTGGTCTCCAGAAATGGTTAAACTCTTGTGGGATGACCTGCAGTTGCTGTTATGTTGCTGCACCACATTTCCTTAGTGAGCTGCATGACATCAGTTTTCAAGCTGGACTATTTCAGTTGCCTCATGTGCTCCTCTGAGCGACCAAATTAGCTATGGCTGTGCATGAGAAACACGAAGAGTCTCGCCTCACACCGTCTGGACTTAGACTTTGTTTTTCTACATTTACCAGCTCTACTTACAGTATGAACTTACTACGCTGTGCATGACGGGCTACAAGTTACATAAGGACAGGGTGTGTCGCGGGAGAAGAAAAGATTCATTCTTTCTAAAAAATGTAACAGTAAGTTGGATATTTTGTGTATTAAAGTGAAGGCAAACCAAAGGTCAGCATTTACTTACTGTTTAGACACTGCTGTTATGCAAGTCAGCAGTGACTGATTTAAAATAATTGTAATTGCTTTTATTCGATTACCTAAATAAGATAATAATATCTAAATCACTTACTGAGTGAAACACTGAGTGCAGCCAGAGATGCTCTATAACAAAGATAAGATGCATAACAAGCTCCACCAATGGTTTGAAATGGTATACACTTCTTGTCTCCAAAGTGAGCGTGGTCATTGCTGTTCATACTGGCCACAACCCAATTCCATTTTAAGGAATTCAACTCAGAGCGGAAAAGCTTTCGTCATCAGTAGTGTTTTTTGTGGTTGTTGTTTTGCCTGGTTGTTGTTTTGACTGGAGCTACATGAGTTAACCAACCTTAGTAACCATGATCGGAACAGGAACAGCAGGCCTGGAGGCAAATTAGTGCGGTACTTGAGATTTCTGGTGAGTTGTTTTTCATTTATTCAAACTATATTATTAACTATAGGGTAGCGTTTGTGGTGGTTTGTGTTAAGCGTAAGCACTCATTTGGTGGTTGCCTACCAAACATTTTAAAAAAAGGATGCAGCTAACTGAAAAAAAGAACTGTCGATTTTGCCCCCCTATCTCTTTGCTGCTTTAAATTTAGTTTAAAGTGTACACTATGCTAAAGTTTGTGTACCTCACTGTTGCTCATCTGGTAATAGTCCTTGTAAGCCATGTAGACCTGGAACGAGTTCACACCTGTAACAAAGAAAAACAACATACGGAAGAAAACATGAGCAATGATACTGAAACCTTCCTAAAAAAGATCAAAGACGGATATAAAAATGGTGAGAAGATGTTCTGTTACGATGTCACAGCCTACCTTTCTCCTTGATGAGGGTATCCACCTCCTGCTTTACGCTGTCGTTCCAGTGGGTGATGTCCACATGGAGGGAGTAGTCGCAACAGGTCTTCTCATCAGCCCACTGCCTCCACTGGGCATAGGCCTCCATCAGGCTGCAGCCGGGTTCTGGGATCACATGGTCCACTGGACGGTAGAGGAGAGAGGACGGAGGGATGAGGGAAGGAGAAGAGAAGTTTGTATGGAGAAAAGGGTTTTAGGAGAGAAGGGAGATGGATGCAGAAAGGAGAGGTGGCAGTGGAAATGAAATGATTGGAAAGACAAAGAAGTGTTAGAGTGCGTGACAGACGGGGTGATGTCAGGATTTGTCTGCTGGTTTCAACTTTCTCCCTGTATTCTTTATCTTGCATAATCAGCTGTCTGTCTGAGTTCCTGCAGTGCTCAGCCAGTGGGGGCCGACCTTGTCAGATTACATTTTCAGCATCTTTGTCTGGGTGCGGGTGTCCTTGATAAATTTGGGGGCCATTTCAACAGTGGATATTTTCAGACTTTTGTTGTTTTTTTGGTTATGTAACCACGATCAGAGTTTGGCACACAAGGCATTTTTCATGATGGGACCACCCACACTTTTGGTGGCTGAAACATTAAAGTTCTTGTGTTACAGCTTTTAGTATATTGCCAGTAAGATTTAGTGGAAATGTAAGTAAGAATAGTCCCACACATGCAAACCTCCCTGCTGAAGCATAACTGTCAATATATTTTTATTTTATATAATAATATATAACATATAATTTAGATCATCATCAAATTTGACAAGCAAGATTATGCTCAAGCCCCTGAAATCACAAATATAACAAAAGACAACTTTTAAAATGTGTGAATTTTTTCTATTATTTAGATTGTATACTAAACAGAGAGCACACGCTTGCCTTTTTGCTTGCCTAAGGTAGATTTCTGTTTTCACTAAAATTATAAATAGTAAATCCTCATTGTACACAACAGGACAGCACAAATGATCCTGCTTCATCTTACTCAGCTGTAATAACATAAGACCGCCTGCTGGCTCACCAGCTGACTGACGTCTTTATCTCATTAAAGATGTGCCAATCTGCTTATCTGGTCTTTGCATGTTAATAGCATCGAGCTGGAAACGGCAGTCAGAAATAAAAACCGTACTATTGTTTATTATGTAAACCATCTGAACTACTTTTGTGTTCACCTTCACACCAACACAACATCATCAGTGGAGACAGACATATACAGTAAGATACCAAACACAGTGCATGTTTTCACGCTCTCTCCAACACATCACCCACTGGAATATAATCCCTCAATGAATGGAGCCCATGGACAGAGCTTACTACAGTTGCAGGTCTGTTCGTGAATGCCTCCGTTTGAACACAGCGCCACACTGGCAGCATAGCAGCAGCGTAGCAGCCAGCTCAAAAGAAGTTAATGGTATTAATGAGACTGTGGTACTGGTGCTGTATACACCCCCCCTCCTGATCCTACCCCTTTACACTCAGTCAGTATGGTCCTCTTTTGGAGAGCTACCCAAAAACAGACCAGAACCGCTTCCCGTCTCTTTTTTTTCTCTTCCTTTGTTCAGGTCTCGGCCTTCTTTTTTCCCCTCTTTTTAGCTACCGTCTCTATCTCAAATTCAGCTGGACTGTGTGAGCAAGCTTTCCTACAGCCCTTACCGATCATGGTCGTGCCCCCGGCAAGTGCAGCCTTTGTTCCCTGAGCAAAGTCATCCACGGTCGTGGTTCCCCGGTACGGCATCTGGAAGTGGGTGTGGATGTCGATGCCACCGGGAATCACCATCTTCCCGTTGGCCTCGACGGTCTTCACCCCACCGGGCACGATCAGGTTGTCGCCGATCTGCCTGTCGAGGGAAGTAGATGTTGTCATAATTGTATGATGATGTGATGTTGCATTCATAAAAGATGTTTCGACAGCAGAACATTACTGGGCCTATAACTATTTGGGCTATGTGCCAATTAAGTGAATCTGATTTAAATCACGCTGATATACTTTCAAGTAAATCAAGATAACAAATGAATAAAGCAAGCAATTCCCAAACACCGATGGGCAGGAGGTGGCTGATTTATAAACATGTCAAGTCACAATTTGATATCAGCAGACATTTTTTGAGAACATTTAAATCATAAGCAAATGTTTTTAACTTTAAACTGGCCCCCAGAACAACGTCAGCCACGCTTGAAGCAGCACATTGTCACCATGCCAACTCATCAACACTTCACCCCTGCTAAAAGAAAAACCCTGTTGTTCAGACTTTATAGAGGGGACATGCCAGACGGGCAGAGAGGCAGGCAGAAGCCAGTATCTCTGTGAGTTTGCCAGCAGCCCAATGGTCCGGCAGGGTGTTTATTATGCAACACCAGGCTTTCCATGGGTGCCTCTCTCTCAGCTGCCTCACTAAGGGACAAGGGGGGACAAAGAGCCTATAACTGGAAAACCAAGTGAGAACAGGACGGGGAGGAGAGAGAGTGACGGAGGGGACCGGCTGATTCAGGGAGACACAGAAGGAGGAATTCACACACCCTCGCCTTGTCTGGTGGGACGAAGACATCCTCATACTAGAGGACGAGGCTGGCTGCTATCACCACAGCTTGTCTTTGATCCAATGGAACAAAGGCTCTGTTTTTGGTTCAGGTCAGCCAGTAGGACACAGTGTGCATGATAAAGCAGCTTGTGCTCATGCATTTATTGATTGAAGTTTCCATACCACTCATTTATAATTAGACTGCTGTAGTTAGTTTGGGTTGCTTTGCACTGCAATAAATGCACTTGACTTTACGTTTTCCTGTGTCACAAAGAGTGATGCAACCTATTTTACCTCCTAGCGTCACCTGTCTCAAGCTCAAAACATTTCCTTTAACCTGTCACCTGCCCTTCTTCTACGGATTATAATCATAATGAAACAAATTAATAATTAATCAAATCTTATAGGGAACATTTGAGACCATTAAGATTCTTTATTCTCTGATTTTTGTCCATTGCAACTACATGCAATGAAAAAAGATCTGTTATGGATATTTGAGAACATGGACTATATACATTACAGTAATACAGTAAGGATTTCTAGTGGATTAGTTTCTGCATTTACTTTTGGTCAGGCAGATTAAGATTATCTCTGTGATACTGAAGCTTTTGGAAAGCTGGAGGCTCGTGCTCCTTGCACAGATGAGAGTCATTCTTGCAGATGTCCCAAATTTTGAGAACGACAGGGAGAAAAGTCAAAATGGACAAAAATATGACAATAAGGAATCCGAATTCCCCTTTAACGTTTTCACAAATTTGACCTAGCCGACCCATCAAATGTAATCCAGATTACTTCACATGTTGAGAAAAATGTGTATATTTCTACATATGCTTTAACATGAGGGAGAGGCTACAGATGAGCTACATGCTGTACAACTTGAGTGAAAGACAGGAAATGGATGAGGAGCGAGTGGGGGATGGAAGCAAATGGAAATGAATAAGAGCAGAGCAGAAAGGAGGACAGCGGAGGACTTACTTAATGACGCCATCTTCCAAGTAGATATCGGCATGGAAGGACTGGTCGTCATTCACGATCCTCCCTCCTTTGATCAGAAGCCTGTCGCTCTGTAGAGAGAGGGATGGGAGGGACAAGAAGAAATAGATCGTTATGATTAGGTGCAGTTTGGCTTGAAACATTTTCAAGTAAGCAAGCTTCATTAGAGGATGATCTACTAAGCCAGATCATTTCTTCTGTATATTTAGAGCTGGACAATGCTGTTCTATTTCTCTTTAGTTGGATCATTTCCTTCTTCTTTCAACCAGAGGAGATGAACAATGTCTCATTCATTCGTTCATTCATGGCAAGGAAGAGAAAGGGCATGTTTGTCAGTCTTGTCCCATGTAAACACACCACATACAGTTTAGCTAGGGACCTCTCCCTGTGGTCTCATGCAAGTGGACCCCTATTTGCAATGACATTTTCTTGACATCGTTGTTAAATGAGCCCAGCAAATTAAAGCGAGGACTATCTAGCACTGTTTCCTCAATGGAAAATGTGCAGTAATTGTAGTAAACTGGTGCAAAAACTGAATCGGGGAGTGCCAGTTTGATAATGAATAAAATGATGAATATGAAGAATCGAATTTCAGGAGAAGGTATTCCTGCAGGAAGACAGGGCAGCGTTCACTGTAACTTATATTCCCCTGCATTAGAATGACTGCTCATGGTGATAACATTTGAGAGGCTGACATTTTGCTGCTGGTCGCAGAACTGAAGCTGCTTTTAAGGACTGACATGGATTAACATCTAAAACCATGTTTATCCAGATTTCATTACGCAACAACTGTGGATGTTTTTTTCTCAGTTTAATCCATTTATCCCATGGACCAAAAACGCCATCGGCCTCTGGGCGTTGCCATCAAATCTGCTGCCGCTGCACCACGGACTGACAGGGCGTTGTAATGGCGACGGTTGACTGCAGGAAGAAAGACTAGAGAGGATGGGAGACTGGGCGCATGGTTTAGCTGACTACTGCATGACTGTCGAACCCGATGGAGGTCTACATGGATAGAGGGGAGTTTGTTAGTTGGTAAAAAGGACAACTGTGCAGCTGCTTTGGGAATCTGTGGGCAAACTGCTTGAGATGGCGGTTAATCGACTGGCCACATTAAGACGAAGGCTGAAACGTCTGATACGCAGCAACTCTCTGTTATGGCTTTTTAGGTTAAATGTTATGAGGTTTTGTGCTATTTTGGGGACAAAACAAGTAACAGATATACTGTATTTCAAATATATTAAATGAGAAATCTAGTCATCAATGATGAAAATAATCATAAATTACAGCCCATCATGAGCAGTATCTAAAAAAAGAGGACCAATCTGGAGTTTCTGGAGAAACGAAAAAGTAAAATTCTATGACATAACGACTTATTTTCTTTCTAAATCAATAATATTAGGTTGTATTCTAAACAGCATGGATTCTAAAATACATTCACATGCTATAACATTCTCAGTTATTCGCCCTGCTTCCATATTTTCCCGACAGCACGATTTACAGCCCTGGCGGTGAACCCAGTGTTGCATCACTATAATGAAGTGCAGCCACTCCCTCACACAACAGAAAAAAAAGGAGGAAGAAAAGAGAATAATACCGTTCTGTATGCATCTCAGATGATACAAGCTCAATATCTGCTGAGCTCATAATCACACGCAATGTGTGTGTGTGCTTGTGTCTTTGTGTTTGTGTTTGTGTGTATGAGATTTAGGTGGTGATGGAGTGGTGTGAAACAGAGCCCAGAGCTTTCCCTGGAAACCACACCCTGAAGCAACGCATTACAACACGCAGTCATCAGCAGCTGGAGCACAGCACCAGATCATACTGTTGAGCCTGCAGCTCTAAATCTGTGGCTCGGTAGCTCAGAGATTATTGGGATGACTGTAATACAGTTCTGTGGATAAAATGGATGCTTTGGAAATAATCAAAGTCAGCACCTTACAGAGGTGTGAACATTTCTTAATTCTAAGAGGCATCGCGAGGCAGACCGAGTAGCACTACTGCATCTGTCAAGCTTGTTCCTCTCCTTTCTCCTCAACTGCAATAAATTGCGTTGACAATACTTTGAAGAAACCGCCTACATTTAAGAGTGATGGAGTCATACACTAAACGCTCACTGTTTCCAGCTTCTTAAATTTAAGGATTTTTTGTTTTTCTCACATTCATAACTGTAAGTTGAATATTTATTTTGAAAAAAAAAATCAAAGACTGCATCGACTGCATCAGACGAATAAAGATGTTTTATTTGATTTATAATACTGTAGTGAGAGGTGTGTCCTCATGCATGTGTGCTCTCTCTCTTTCTCTCTCTCACACACACACACACACACACACACACACACAATCATATTCCCCTTTGTCTGTTTCTGCCCACTCTCCCCACTGGCCTTTAACAACATGCAATCATTTGACAATCAATAGCATTTCCATCACAACCCAGCAACTGGTTTCAGTATTCCATTTCAGTTAATGCATCTGCTAGTGACATACATAATGTATTACTATGACTGTGGACTGTATTTGAGACTCGACTTGAGTTATTTCTAGTCAGTGCAAAATTAGATGTTAACTGTTAAGAATTATGGGTGACCAAACTGTGACGACACATCGTTTTTTCTTCTTTTTTAACACTTGTTAATCTCACTTCATAAATCTAAAAGCAGTCAGAGCATTTATTGTGGCTTTTTCTGATGGAATCTATGACAGACGGCAACATTTCCCAGAGCTCATTCGACCACCTACAGCAATAGGACACTTCCAACATTTAATGCAAAATTTAACAAGTGGCAGCATGCTGTTTCCCAATATGGCAACGGTTGAGCTGTCAATGTGTGCCAAAAGACTGTTTATTGTTTCAGAATTTATCCATGATTCTGTCATACTCAACAACAAAAAAACTCAGCATTTCTGCATTATTTTGACTATTAATAAAAGGAAAAGAGGGACAATAGAGGGGTGTGACACATGGAAAAACGTGTTTTTCCTGCGAGTGGTATTATTGCCAATCATAGCAATGAAGTCCTCCCATCAACTCAGTTCATTATGTTTTTACGATTTCAAATTATAACAAATGATGCATCAGAATTCAAAATCTTGTGTGAGTTAAAACCATCTGCGCTGTTTATGATGCTGGTAACGGGTCTAACCCGAACCATTTGTTACAACATTAATGGGACCACACCATCCACATATTGAACAATCAATCAAAATGCTTTCTGAATTTTTGTTGCAGGCCTGACAATTGAATGGCAAGAATGAAATTCAACTTTGTTTTGTAATTTTGCCTGTTTTCGTACCTCCATGTCGGATCTGAACACGGATACTGAAGCCTTGCTACTGCTTTCTCTATTGCTGCTGTTTTAACCACAATGGATTTTGATTTAAACTGATTCTTGCCCACACTTCCTCCTGAATCCTTTTTGGATATCGATTTCAACCACTTAAATCAATGGAATCTCTACCTTGTTTTAAGATGTTCAGACGTTCAGATGAGACTGATCAGAATTTCATTAAGTGTCCATCCTATGCTAATAGCTGGCTTTTTACGAACTTTAGATAACAATTTCTGTTCTTGCATTTTGAAGTATTCAATCCTGTGAAAGAACTTGTTTTACACAGCTCTGTCATAATCTGAGCACTGGGATTGGAGAAAAAAAAAGACTTTGATCCATTCAAAGATTCTATGATTCTGGTTTGGACTGGCAGAGGCGACTCTCAAACCGGGACAAACCCATTGACCAGACATTGACCAAAAATAGTGATTTATTTTTTTTCTGGGTTTCCCAGAATAAGCAGCTACAGTGTAGAAGAACAGCAGCAAGGCATGTGGAGATACAACCAGACTGAACAGTCTTTGTATATCTATCTCTTTTTAAAGACATTCAGTGAAATAGTTGGTACACTGTGTGGCATTCTTCAATTCAGGCATCCTGCCTACATGTAAAATAAATTCCAACAAAAGAAAGTCTTTGCTACAAATTGTTAGGCTCAAATCTTATAATCTGAAAGCTTTGATTTAAAGCTATGACACAACATGCTTCAATCGTCTCAAATCTCATACCCAACCAGGTTTCTTTAGAGAGTTCCTTTAGACATTTCTAATCTACTTTAAACATTTCTCAATTTTAATCTAGTAACATAATATGCCCTTTTCATAACAGCCATTTTGACATAGCAGGGTAAACACAGGCGTAATGAATTGAATTAATTGAGGTCCCATTTTATTTAGTGTGTCACAGTCATTCCAGCTTTCACAATACCAAGGCCCGGTCCAACGTAAATGTAAAGCCGCCATAATAAAGGCTATTCATTACACCTTTGTTTGTTCACCCTGCAATGAAATGTCAAAATGGCAGCTGTGAAAAGATATGAAAAAAATGATATTAGACCACAAAGATTCGTACTATCTCAACAGTTTTGCATTTTCATTCAAGGCAGCAATAATGCTGTTGATCCTGATTTGCTCTGACCTTCCAGGGTCACTGACCATGTCCTCGTTTGTCAATCATGTCTCTGTTACAACGCCCAGTTTTTGGAAGGGAAAAATAATCTCACTGGATGAGCTGCACAATGTAGTCATTGTAGTTTGTGCAGTCTGTGTTTATTCGCCAAGAAACAGCCAATATATCGACGGATATTAGCTGTAGCTAACTAGCTATAGGTGGCTAACTAGCCGTGTACACACTAGGGGTGTAACAACACATTGATCTGGATCTAAATACTAATTAAATGATCAACGATTCAACATTATCACATACATCATTAAGATGTCTGAGTCATGTTAAAGTAACACATGAGGATAAGTTCACTAAGATTAGTGCACTAAGCTTAGCGGGTACTGGCCTATAAAGATAAACTGTGTGGTAAAAATGAAGAGGTCAAACCAAAACAACCGTTACAGCTGGAGAGAGAAATAAATAAAATATCTAAAAATTAAATGATGTTTCACCGTAGATCCAATAAAACCGATGCCTTGCTCTTGGGGCAAACAATTTAAGTAAACAACTGTTTGGCTCCAACCTCCACAAATGTTTCTTCTTCATCTTCACTTCCATCAGTGTACTTGTTTATA